CTATTTTAAGGAGAAAAAGCTATGACAAAGGGAATCAGCTTCTTATAAAATCACTGGGAGAGGTGGAGGAGCAGGACCTGTGGTGGGCTTCCAGGAATGACTCTGAAAACACTACCCCAAGCTGCTGCCTCAGGAGAGCTGCTGCTTTTGCCGTAAACAGCTTTAGTCTACATACTGGACAACCACCCAGGGCTCTTGGCCCTTGAGCTATGCGGGGTCCACTAGAGCTTCACCAACCAAAATAGTGCCCTGTGCCCAGCTCCCAAGACACATTTGTTGTTAACTAGACTGGACCCTCTGCTAATTCCACCATCAGAACAAACAAGAACAACAACAATAGCAAAGTGAAAACAACCCAAATACAAAATACCTAGAAATGCTAGGTTAAATGTAACAAACATCCTTTTCAGTTTATGTGAGCTCCAAAGAAGGCCAAGGAGACTCCCAGGAGTCACAAGTGGGAAGGGAGCTGGAAGCTGGAGGTGTAAACGAATGCTGGGGATACTTAGTTTGGGTAAGCCAGATGCTTCGATGGTCCGGTGGGCCTGGTAGACAATGCCTTGGGGGATCCATGCATGTTAGGGAGATGAAAGGGAGGGTTCTAAGACCCCCACAGGGCTATAGCCTCTAGGAAAGAATGGACTGGAAAAAAAAATCTGACTTTTAACAAAGAGAAATCACAAGGACATTTGTCTTTGCCCATGCTCTGAGTGGGGTGGAAAAGTATTCAGGAATTTGTGATGATACGTTGCCACCTGTGTGGGTTTGAGGTTTGAGGTTTGAATCTACCCTGAGTGGTTTGAGAACTTAATTTTACAAGCCTGAGTTGGTAACAATTCTGGACATCTGACAAAAGCCATGTAGATCTTTCTGGTGAGACACAGTCTCAGGCTAGGCCTTATAGGGTTCCTACAGATAAACCCCAGCTGAATATAAGCTCCCATTCCAAAATTTAAAAAATATATGAAGAGACAAGTCACCATAAGTTAGAATTAAAAACTCCTAAGAACTTATGATACTGTATATATCAAATGCAGAATATAAAACAAGAATGCCTAAAATGTTTGGTTAAATTTAAAAATGCACACAAGAAAGGAACAAGAGTACTATATAATATAATCATATACATACCTAAAAGTACACAAATTATAACTGGACAGCTTGATAAAATTTCACAATCTCAGCACAACTCTGTAACCAGCACCTATAACAAGAAACAGAACATAGCCAGCATCCCAAATCCCCTATCCCTCATATTTCCTTCTAGTTATTACCTGTATCTCTCCAAAGGGTAACTAGTATCCCAATTTCTAATAGCACTGATTAGTTTTAGGCTGATTTGGAAAAGCACTAAATAGAATATCTAAGGGCTTAAAAGTATACTCAGTGAAATTAAAGAAACAAACCACCAAATGGGTTAAATAGATTTGACATATCTAAACAAAAGAATTAGATAGGGAATTAATTGAATTAGAGCTGGAGAATTTTCCAGAACACAGCACAGAGAAACAAAATGATGAAGAAAAGGCAGGAGTGAAGAGACATGGAGGATAAACCAGGGGATCTAACATGCTTCTCATCAAACTTCCACAAGAACAAAGGAGAGAACAGGTGAAAGCTGATTTTCCACAAGAGAACATCAGGGAATTTTTCATAATCGCTGAAAGCTATGAATCCTTAGATTCAGAAATAATACTGAGTCCTCAGCAGAATAAATAAACACCTTGATTCAGGATAGTGGTATATTGAGATCACTGAGGAAAAACTACATGTAGTCTCAGAAAAGACAGGCGCCTTAAGAAGGTACAACAGTGAGATCAAGCCCAGGTTCTTCCAAGGTAACAGTGGAAGTGGACACAGGGGAGGGGCGGTACCTTTGAAAGTCTGAGACACAGTAACTGGCAATATAGAATTATGTCTCGTTAATCTATCCTTCAAGAGTGTGGGTGCAAAAAAGATGTTTGCAGACCCTCCCCCGAAAAGTACCCCCATAAACAAAATGGACAAATAGAAAAATTGCTAACAAGGACAGCAAAAAATTCTTGAGTATTTACCATCAGCAGACCCTCACAGAGAGAACTTCTAAAGCATGTAATTTACTAGAAGGAAAATAATTCCAGGAGGAAGTTCTGAAATGCAAGAAGGAAAACTGAGCAAACAAAACTGGTAAGCTTATATGAAGGTCTTCTTAACCTCAACCTGAAAACAATAAGAGGATCTGATTTGGGAGTTAAAAGACAAGGTCAAATTAAAATCCTGGGTCACAAAAACATATGAGATGGGAGAGGAAAATCAGAGTTAAGATATTTAAAGTCCTTTTTAGGAAGAATAAGAAGATACTTATGAATTTTATACTTTGTTAACTATGAATGTTAAAAATTAGGGATGCCTGGGTGGCTCAGTCCTTAAGTGTCTGCCTTCAGCTCATGTCATGATCCTGGGGTCCTGGGATGGAGCACCGCATAGGGCTCCCTGCTTAGCGGGGAGCCTGCTTCTCCCTCTCCTTCTGCCACTCCCTGCTTGTGCTCTCTCTGACAGATACATAAATAAAAATCTTTAAAAATCAAAGGTTGAGTACTAAAAGAATAGAGTTTAAGCAGTGTTTTTCAAAGTGTGCTCCGCTCCCTGGGCCAGCATTATCAGCATCACCTGGAAATTTTTTAGAAATGCAATTATTGAGCTCTGTCCCAGAAATTGAAATCAGAAATGCTGGTCTGGAGACCAGCAATCTGTGTTTTAATAAGCTCTCCAGATAATTCTGATGCCACTAACATTCGAGGACCATGGAATTAAGTATGTACATTTGAATCCGATCAGGGGAAAACAAGTAAGTCAAACTTCTAAATCCAAAATAAGGTAGAGAAGGAGAAAAAAATAAGAGCCTAAAATGAGTAGGGAAAAGAAAGAACAAAATGGAAATAATTCCAAATATATCAATACTAATACTACTAATAAAAACTATAGATAGACCAAACTTGCCTCTTCAGATAGATTTTTAGGTTGATTTTTTTTACAGATCTATGCTATGCTATTTATAAGAGACAACAAAATGTCGGAAGTAAAAAAAGTGAAAAAAAATAGATACTAGGTAAATAGGAAGACACTGTTTCATAAAGTCCACTCTCTCCAAATCAACCTATAAATTCAATTCCAATTCAATTCTAATAACATCTGAACCAGGGTTTTCTTGGATCTTGCAAGCTGATTTTACATTTCTGTAGAAAAACAGAGAGCCAGGGTAACTAGGTTTGAAGAAGCACAAGGTTTAGGATGGTTCTACTAAGTTTAAGCATTTCAGAGTGGCATTGGTGAAGACACACAAAGAGATGAATGGTTGACAGTGGAAAGTACATGGAAATTTGATAAAGCTCAGAGGGCATGGAAGATCTGTGGGGAAAGAATGGTGTCCAGACAATTGGTTAATCAGACGCAAAAAACTAAGAGTGAATCTTCAGTGGCGCCTGGCTAGCTCAGTTGGTCCAGCATGCAACGCTTGATCTGGGGGTTGTGAGTTCAAGCCCCATGCTGAGTGTAGAAATTACTTAAAGATAAAATCTTGGGGGGGGGGCCTTGACTGGCTCAGTCGGTTAAACGTCTGACTCTTGATTTCGGCTCAGGTCATGATCTCAGGGTCATGAGATCGAGCCCCGACTCAGGCTCTGAACTCAGCTCAGAGCCTGCTCAGGATTCTTTCTGCCTCTCCCTCTGCCCCTCTCCTGCTCTCTAAAATAAATAAATAAAATCTTATGTAAATATATAAGTTTACACATATTTTAAAAAAGATTGAAGCTTCACGTTATAAACAAAAATCAAGCCAGGGCAGACTAAAGATCTGAATAGAAAAGGCAAAAATCTCTACCTTTAAGAAAAAATGATTAGGATCCCAGGTTAAGGAAAGACTTCTTACAAATCACACACACACACACATCATAAATAACAAGACTGGTAACCTACTGATGTTAAATTTTAAAACTTCATCAAGAGACAAAATTAAGGAGTGAAAAGATGAGTCATCAGCTCTGAGAAGCTCTGCGATGTATTTTATCCATGAACATTAGCAGCAGAAGGTTAATATACAAGATTACAGGAGGAACCCATGTTAACCAGGAAGATGAACAACTCGGTGCAAAAGACAGGCAGTTTGTTCAAGACAGAAACAAGATGGAAAATTAATAGAAAAAGTTCCTAGCTATCAGGCAAAGGAACATTAAAACCACAAAGAAGTATTTTATGCCCTTCAGACTGATGAAAATTCAAACTCTGATGATAGCAGCTGCTGGTGTAGATAAGAAGCAAACCTTCCAGGGTGTATTTTGGTAACCACTTGGTAGAATAATTTGGAAATATCTAACAAATTGAAAAATACAGACGTGACAAGATTCAGTAATTCTTTTAGGTATATATCCTGAACAAACCCTTGCACAGGACAGGGAGACATGTATAGCAATATCTTGAGTATCATTCTTTATTACTGGACAATTGGAAACACATGAAATTTCTATCATCAGGAGAATGGATACGTAAATTGTTGCCTATCACGGAATACTAAATAGCAAAGAAAATGAACGAGCTGGAGTTATGCAGGTCAACATGGGACAATGTCCCAGGACTGCGAGGAAAATGGGAAATGCAGAGGTCTGTCTACTCTATACCAGTCCCAGTCTTGGACTGGGGCAAGTGGGGCCCCTGTCCCAGGTCCCTCCATCTAGGAGTCCCTGCCCGTTGGTTCCCCTTCCTTAAAATTGTTTACCTCCCCAGTCAGCGCCTGGGACCAACTGGACGGGGCTGGCCGCTCTCTGCACAGGGACTTCAGCGCTGGGACAGGGACCTGCTGGGACTGGGACCTGCTGGGACTTCCCTCTTCACAGGCCCCTGCACAGCACACCCAGGGGATCGGAGAACCCGAGCAGCTCTGAACTGTGCCTTTCGGTGCCCAGCCAGGTTCCAGGCAGCCGCAGGTCGCCCCAGCCGTCTTGTGCCCGTGCTCTTCCGCGGCAGAGCGCGAGACCGGGTTGCCCGCATGGTGCGGACACAGCGTTTTGGGCCACTCAGGTCGATGATGTAGACGGGGACTCTGCCAAATTCAATTCAAGAGCTGCTTCGCGAAGGGAGGGAGCATTAGGCGAAGGTTAGAGTTACCCTGGGAGCTTGTTTTGGAATGTTTTATTCCTTAAGCTGTGTGGGGTGGTGGATAGAAGGGGTTGATTGCATTACCTTTCATGCCTTTGTGTGTGTTTGAAATGTTTAATTAACCAAAAAAAAAAAAAAAAAAGGCGAGGTGGGGAGAGGAAAAGCACGTAAGCCCCTCTGTGCCTTTGTAGGGCCGGCCAGTGGGGGGCCGTGGGCTGCGGGGGGGTGTGGGGACGGGACACAGCAGGACCCTTTCTGTCCTCCCACGGGAAGATGCGCCCGGGCTGTCGGTGAGCGGGCGGTGCTGGGGGCTCTGCGGTGCGCGGTGGGCCCCTTCACCCCCAAATACCTGCTGAACACGTACGTCAGTCTTCCAAGTGGAAAGAAAATTCCACGGCGCGGTTCAAAGTCAAAGTTAAAAATCCGAAACTCTGAGCCTTGGCCAAGACTGGTGAAAAAGTTTTTCGTTGAAACTTTACTACATTAAATTCAGTCGTTGGAAATTCTGCGTTGCTATGAATCTTAACTATTTAAATATAGGAGTTTTCCGTTGGTGGTTCGTCTCCCAGGACAAGGAAGGACTCTCTGGAGATAAAGGATCCCCGCTGGGAACCGGGCCCCCGGCGGAGCTCCCTTCTGGAAGGGCCGCCTCCCCGAGTGGCTCATTTTCTCCTCGGTGTGGTTTCAGTTCCACGCCAGACCAGTTCGGCAGCATGCTTTCCTACCTTTCCAGAGCAGATCTGAATCAGCTTGCCAAGGCTTTCAAACTCCTCGGATTCCTTCCTTGCTTAAAAACCTTTTTCTTTGGAAGGCCTTTGAGTGAATCATAAAATTAACATCTAAAAGGACTCCGCAGCCGTTGCGCGGGGGAAGGCTTCGAGTTTCTAACCAACCCCACCCAGAGTGACCTTCCCCCCCCCTTTTTTTGTTGTTTTATTTATTTATTTGACAAAGAAAGAGAGCACTAGCAGGGGGAGTGGCAGACAGAGGTTGAGGGAGAAGTAGGCTCCCCGCAGAGCAGGGAGAAAAACGAGGGGCTCCATCCCAGGACCCCTGGCATCATGACCCCAGCTGAAGGCAGTCACTTAACCAACTGAGCCACCCAGGCGCCTCAAAAGTGACCTCCCTAAGGGCCTTTGACTCGGGAAGGAGCTTTGTAGGTGGCAGGTGGGGCAGCTGCGGATTGGGGGGGGGGGGGGGGGAGGGGGGGGGTGGGGGGGGCAGCTGTACCCCTGGCCTAAGCCCCAAACTCCAGGCCCCTCATTGTTCTCAGGCTCCCACGGTCAGGGGGCACCCCGCCCCCCTTCTTGTACATCCTTTCTCTGGCTCAGTTCTGAGCCAACAGCAACAAATATTTAAACAAAGAATGAGGGAAGGCTATTTCAGTAACTTTCACTTCTCTACAGGTTTGATTGCTTCAGTCGGGTGTGACATATTTTTGAATTTACATTTTCAATTCTATTTTATACGTGCTGGATAACAGGTTGGACTGTAGACATTTTCTTTTTGATGAAAAAGAGAAGATTGATTTGGGGATTCACAAAGTATTTGATTCATCAGGGCTTGGTTTCGCATTCAAGAACATTGTGCTGACGCTTTCCACTTCTTTGTTTCGGCCCTAGATTTTCCTTAACCTCTGTTGTCTCCTGTATCTTTCCAGCTCTGTGAACTTCTTTGAGGGTAAGAGGGCTCTGAGGATTGAAGAGAGAAAAGCTCTTCTTCAGTCATTTTTTATTATCGAGACTTCTGATTTTGAGTTTCTTGCATATTTAGCCCCTCAGGAAAAATTTGAGTATATCTTCACCCTTAGAAACTCAGGTAACCCTGGTGAGGAGGGGGGATGTTGAGAAAATAAATCATGTTTTTCCATTTCCTGACTTCGTGATGAATCATGCTCTCCAAAATGCTCAGGCCAAAAATTGTAGCTTGCAGTTTAGAAGTGAAGAAGGTGGATGGAGAAAGCCTTGGGCTAGCCAAGGGAGGATGGGGTGGGATTTTAGAAGTTAGATCGCTGTCCATCTTTGTGTGAGCTCCTTTTGTCAAGAATGGCTGCTTTCTAAAGACGAGTGCTTCAGCTCCAGGGTCTGGGAGATGAGCTTTGTAAATTTGAAAGATGTTTCAAAGGCAAAAATGCATTGCTCTCAGAATGCGTCCCCGGAGAATGTTTTCAGTGCATAGATGGCAGTTTTCTAGGAGATGCAGAGCGCTGGTTACTGCGACCCTGTCTGAGAAAAGGAACAGACAAGGCTGGTTGTGGTCTGGTATGTTGCTCGCTGTATCAGTGCACTGGGGTGAGCTCCGTTCTGGGTTACAACCGGTGGTCCGGCTGCCCAGGGGACGGAGGCCTGTTCCTCTTCCAAGTCTTCCTTGAGATTCAGGGACATTGGGAAATTCACTCCCAAGAACTTCTAGGACTGTGTCATACTGCTTAAGGGAATTAGGTGTTGGGAGATTACCCAGTGACCTTTTAATTTCATGCATTCTAATATTTTTCTGTAATGTGTGACACAATGTCCTGCCTTGAGTTGTTGTGTTGTGGTATCATACTTGTGTGGGTTGCATATTCTTGGTAGACAGTGGCAGTGCCCAGCCTGCGTCCCCTGTCATTTTGAGGCTAGCTATTCTCTTTCTGCTGTGGGATAAAAAGTTAATGTTGGTCACTTGTTTAAAAATTTAAAAGAAAATTTTTTTTTTTCCTTTTAAGCAAAAAGGTGGGGCTTGAACTCATGACTCCAAGATCAAGAGTCCCATACTCTACTGATTGAGCCAGTCAGGTACCCCAGTGTTGGTCACGTCTAGTGCTGCCTTTCACAGACCCCACCCTCTTCTTTTGGGAATTTGCCCTTCTTTTCACACTCTCCTGTCTTCTCTTGAGTCATGGCTCCTTGAGTTGCGGAGGAAAACGGCTGGCATTTTAATAACATTGCCAGCTGGTGACAGTCCTTCTGGTCTTCCAGGGAGAGGACTATTTGTGAGAGGGTGTGTGTGACAAGGACCAGACTCTAGTCTGGCTCCTCTGACTCTTTCAAGTAGGCCTGGCCTTTGGGTCCGCCGCCTTAAGTTAGCTTACCCAGAACCCCCTGCCTCCGGGATGTGTGATGGCCTCCATGTCTGACCAAATTCTTCCCCCTCCAGCCCCCAGACAATGGATACCTGCTCACCTGGCCTGCCTTCAGCAAAGATCCTGTAGGCTTGTTTCAACCCAATCCCCCTCACTGCTGATGTTTCCACCTAGTCAACTTTCCTGCCACTGACACCCACCAACTCCTTGGCTACAAATCCCCACTTTTGTTGTATCTACTGAAAAAGCCCATTGGAAGACCTCCTGAGACAGTCCTGAAGAAGGTCTGCCTCCCCACTCTAACAAGTATCAGAATGATTCTTTTCTTTAAAATGTGGACAAATTAGTTGTTGCAAGCGAGTATGATTGGAAAGTGTGTGGTTGCTGACATTAAGCTTCTGTGCTTTGCCATCAGAGTTCTGTCATAGGTAAATGACAGGATAAGCCATTGAAACATTGTGTTTTGTCTTGTCTTTCTGGGAGATCCGAATCTTTTCTCATTCCCAAATGCAATATGTAATTGTTTCTTTTCTTGTTCTTAGAAAGGCAGCCAAACATTTATGTCCTGTGGTCTAGATCCAAAGTGTAAAATTCAGGTCTCACAAGTAGGTAATGCAAGTTTGTGAAGTGGACCCAGTGCAGAATAGGGAGTGGTGGGGATTGTGACAAAGCAGAGAACACTTGTCCCGGGACAAGCCATTCATCAGCTCTAGCCACTCATGGCAGGTGGGAGTGTGCACCTGGCATTTCCAGAGCATCTGATCTTTGAATAGAAGGGAGCTGGATTTCTACATGAGAATTCTAGACTTTTTAAAGTGTTGGCAGATAACACAAGGAAATAAACACAGTGGGGACAAAACAGTTCAAAATTTTGCCTGTGGGCACCAAGTTTTTAAGATCTCTTTATCCTCTCTAGCTGAGGAAGCGTAGTTAGGAGGCTGAAATCGCTCTCACACCTCTTCTACCACAAGTATAGAGGAGGGAGACTGCTTCTTGGACAGGAAGAGGGGAGTGGTGAGGGTGGGGGCAGGGCTTGAGTTTAGGGCCATAGGAGTCTCTGGAACTGTGCCCTGCATGCCCACAGTGTCTGGGATGGGTCCCCTGAGTTGTGTGTCCTGGAAGAGTTGCCAGTCCGACCTGGACCCTTGGCTGGGATCCTTATGCTGACGCTCAACAAGGAAGGAGGGTGCCCCGGCCTTCGTGAGGCCCACGTGGCCCTTTCCAGTGCTCTGGACTGTGCAGGCCCGGGGGCCTCCTACATGTGCCCAGAGGAGTGTAGGGAGGAGAATCCCCAAAGCACAGCTCAGGTGGGATTCTCTGCCAGGTTGGTGGCTCAAGGCCAAGACATTTAATTTAGACAACAGAGGAGCAAATAGGTACCGGGTGTGTTTGAATGCCAGTGTGTGTGTGTGTGTGTGTGTGTGTGTATGCTTCCTGCCTCCTGTTTGGGACCTAGCTGGGAAGCCTGAGAGTTCTGAAGGCATGGATGCCCGAGAGTCTAGGCTTCACTCTGCAAAGATATTCTCTTCCATTTAAAGGATTTGTAGTTGTTCGAAGTTCTAGGGACTAGTTTCCCATCACTTTCTCCATGGGAGCAGAATTTAGGAAACCGTGCAGGGGCCTCCCTTCTCTGTGCAAATATGCTGCCGGCTTCTTTGTCCCCTACTCTCTGAGCCCCTACATTTTTACTTTTCTGTCATTTATTTTATTTTATTATTTTTCAAGATTTTAATTATTTATTTGTCAGGGACAGAGAGAGAGCACGAAGGGGGAGAAGCTGGCTCCCCGTTGAGCAAGGAGCCCGAAGGGGCACTCGATCCCAGGACCTGATCTGAGCCGAAGGCAGACTTTTAACCGACTAAGCCACGTAGGCGTCCCTCTGTCATTTATTTTAATCACTTCCTCTTCCTGGACTGAGTCTCTTCTTCTGAATTTCGGACGTTTAAAATGGAGTTTGGTGAGGTTTTCCCACCACCGGTTTTGTTGTTTGGAATTTGGAACTGCAGGGGCAAGGCTGTTTGGTGACAAGGCTTCTGTTCCCCTCCTCTGCACGCTCAGAGGACGTGTATGACAGATGCATGACAGGATGCATTTGCTGGCACCTGTGTCAGCGGTGAATTCGAAACACACAACTCTCAAAAAAGACTGTTTATGTGGAGAACGAATGGGGCCCGGAACACCATGTCCCGCCTGTGGAATCAAGCCGCACATTTCCTAGGAGGAGCTGAGCGCCCGTTCTCAAAGCCCGAGTGGATGGTAATTCCAGCTGTTTGAATTTAGGGCCCTGGAAAGTTCCTCGGAATGGAAATCGAGGGTGTTGCCTCTTCGTGGTTGGGTTGGTTCTCCTCAGATGTAGCAATTAAATAAGGGCCAAGAACGGCTAACTTCTCTTGAATTCCGAGTTCCGGAGCTTACCCATGTCCGTAGGGGTGTGACTGTGTGTTAGGACTTGAAGCTGCATTTTCGGAACCGCAGTTTAGGATGTCATACTGTCTTAAACTGGGCCTCTGGCCCTTCCACGTGCCCTTTCTTACGTGATCGCCCCCTCGCAGCCTTGACTTTTTGGCTCAATTAGTAACTTATTTGATATAAAACATTGTCAGGGAGTCTCACGGAAAATTCCACTTAAGAAGGCAAACCCATTGCTAATATGGAACGACCAGCTGCTCACTGAAGCTGGCACGCGGCCTCCCGGCTCCTTTCCTCGATAACGCCTGTAACAGATGAAGGTTAGCGCCGCGTGCTCAGCGAGGCTGCCTTGGCAGGTGTGTTCCCTTGCCCTTGAGGAGCAAGCTGGCCTCTCCCTCAGTTGTCTATACTGAGTGTCGTCCAAATGAATCACATTCCTTTCTCCTTTGTGTTCTTTTCTGTGGGGTGTTACCTCCTGGCAGTCTGAACTGGCTGGCGGCTGAATATGGCAGTGATGGACTCATGTCCCAGACCCCTCACGTGGACCACGACACGACCCCGAGGACTACAGGCTGGGACACGGGAGTCACATCTCACCGAGATGCCACCTGGGGCTCTGGCCATGGGAATGGGAGTGGGGGAGAATCCAACATACTTCTTTCACCTGATAATGGCATCCGCCTTCAGCCAGTTCAAGGGCCCCCAGCAAACACTAGTACATGTGGCATTAGGGTTTGTGGGAGGCTCCAGGCTCTTTTCTAAGCGCTTGCTAGCAGTTTACGTCTTTCATCTTCATGCAAAGCCTGCGTGGAAGGTGCTGTCATTGAGCAGGCATGGTGGTGGGGACAGAGGCCCCCAGAGGCCCACAAACACAGGGCTCCCTCCTAAGGGGCGAAGTTGGGCCTGGGGCCCCAGCAGCTGGTCCAACCACTCTAGCGCCTTTCTTTGTAGAGCTGTTTGCAGCCATTAATTGACTTAAGTCACACTAAAGCCTTTTGTTTTCAAAGTTTGCAACCACTCTGCGCCACAAGAAATCCTGGGTTGGTCAGAAAGTAATGGCTCTCATCACAGACTTAGAGTTTCTCATTCTGACATTATTCATTTATTCAGTAAACACACAGTGGGTATCTACCTAACAGAGACAGACCCTGTTCTAGGCACTTGACATATGGTGTATCCATTTTTAAAAATTTTTTATTTTTTTTTAAATATTTTATTTATTTATTTGTCAGAGAGAGAGAGAGCAAGTGCACAAACACCGGGAGGGGTAGAGTGAGAGGGAAAGGAAGAAAAAGGCTCCCCACTGAGCAGGGAGTCCAACTCAGGACTCAACCCCAGGACCCTGGGATCATGACTTAAGCTGAAGGCAGCTGCATAACCAATGGAGCCACCTAGCTGCCCCGAAATACGGTGTATTCATAATGAATATATGGAAAAAACATAGAAGCTTCTCAAAACAAAGATTCTGCCCATGTGGAGCCTGGAGGTTCTGGAGGGTAATTTACCTGATCCCTGAAAGATGGAGACACAGGGAATCCCTCAGACTAGCAGAGAACAGGGCTTGGTGTGAGAAACCGCAAGTTTTAGAGCGGCGTTCCCCAGGCCAGACCCCTGAGTAATTGCCGTGGGGCAGTTGCGCTCAGTCTCTCTCCTTCCTTTTTCATTGGATTCTAGCAGTTCTCCTTTCCTGCCTGCCAAAGGGCCATGCTGTCCTCCTGCATCATAGCACCTCCTGATGAGACACTGTCCATCCATCCATCCATCCATCCATCCAGTGAACTTTTTTTTAAGTTTCATTTATTTAAGTAATCTCTGAACCCAATGTGGGGCGTGGACTCATGACCTTGACCTCAAGATCAAGAGGCACATGCTCCTCTGACTGAGCCAGCCAGGTGCCCTGTCCAGTGAATTTCGTCAGTCATTCAGTAACGTTTTCCTGGCTTCCTCCTGGGTGCCAGGCGCTGCATCAGGCTCCAGGGACGCCCAGGTGAGCAAGATAGCCCACAGCCCTCAGCTGAGAAGGTAGCCAGAGGTTCCAGTGGCCACAATGTGCATGTATGAAGCGGGGAGGCAAGTGGGACGGTATATTCTGTATGTGGATTTAAAGGTAGAAATGGAACGAATGTTGAAAAACACCCTTAAAAAGAATGTCTTTACAGAATTGTTTCCAGGGTCTCCAAGTCTCTTCTGGACACATCACAGAAGGTTCATGGAAAGGGACTTAGGAGGTCCTCCAGCCCAACTCGGGGTGGGGGTTTGTTGTTTTATGGGAACTTGAAGATAGTCTGAGACTGAGAACCTCTCCTTAGATGTTTCAGACGCACAATCTGTGCATACCGGGAGAAGGCTGTTGTGGCTCAAGTGGGGGTTGGAAACGGCTGGGCTATGCTGTCATCCCTGACCCCCCTGTTCTGTGTCCCCACCCAGCCACTTCTGCATAGGCACAATGGTAGTAGCTCTGAAATAAATACTTAGCATTAGAATTCTTCTTCAATTAAATTCTTGGTCTACAGAAAGAAACAGGGCTGGAAGATGACTAAATGTGCATTTCAGCTCATTTGAAGCCTTTCCCTCTTCATTTCTTCCCCCTCCCCCAGGGCAGAGCATGGCCAGGAGGTCTAGGTTGTGAGAGTGTGCATTAATTAGTTGGCTCTGTCTTTGCCCAGGGAAAGGAGAACTTCTGGGGCTGACCCACCAGACTTCTGGTAAGGAGATCCATCTCGGGGCAGAGGGGTTACAGCAAATGGAGAGACTGCCCTCTTCCAGGTATGCTTTTTCCATAGGAACCATATAGCTGTAGTTGGTTGTGCCATCTAGGGTAAGGATCAGCGCTAGAAATAGCTTCAGAGCTCTTAGGATTACTCTTTATTGTGGTAGACCATTAAATAGCTGCATCAAATTACCCATTTGAATTATGAACTGGTCCTGGGTCCATTCCTTGGGGCCCAGAGGTTATTCTATGATAGGTCATGCGAAATCAAGTACAGGCCTTTTCATGTGAACTTTGCCAGACAGCCATTTCTCGATAAGAATCTCTTAAAGCAAGACCTCACATTTTTTGTCACACACACGCTTTTCTTCCCCCTTCAGGGTATAAAGATGTTTTCGAAGACATAAAAGCTCGGCTTCGCCAAAGACCAGAGAAATTTGTACCTGAGCTTGAGTATCAGTGATGAATTCAAAGATGGCTCTTCTCTTCCCAGAGAATGCTCTCCTTCATGTGGGAACCTACCTCCAGGCCTCTCGGTCCCATTCTGCTCAAGTGGGGAGTCTGTAGAAATATTACGCCACACTTGACATCAGCCCTACATATTGGCCTATCTCCCTCCCACCCCATTTCCTAGATGTCGGTATTCCCCCAACACCTAAGAGGAAATAAGTTATCATTCCTATCTTGAATGACTCATTTGACAGAAATCAGAAGCTCCCATCTCAAGTAAGGTTTGGACCATGAGGTCATAGTCCAACAGCTGGTGAACAGGTACGTGAATTTAGAGGTAGTTATGTAATCCAGCAGTGCTCCCAGATAGAAAAATCAACTCCTGAACATACGACAATATGGATGAACCCTGACATAAGTACGATGAGTAAGAGAAGCCAAACAAACAAAAGTATATACTGTGTGTCTCAATGTCTATAAAATTTTAGATGATGCAAACACATCTGCAGAGACAGAAAGCAGATCAATGGTTGTCTGAGAATGGGGAACGGGTAAGGATTACAAGGGGTGGGAGAAACCTTTTGAGGGTGATGGATGTGTTTATCAATTTGATTGTCGACATATACATGTGCTCAACCTCAAATTGTACAACCTTAATTATGTGCTGCTTATTGTATGTCAATTATACCTCAATAAAGATGTATAAGCAAAAAAAAAAAAAATCTAACCTGGGTAATCTGCAGTAATTTTTGATGACCTAGGAAATAACTGCGAAAATCTGTTGTACCACATAGATGCTTGTTAGCTCTCATAAAAGAGTTATGGAAATTCAAGATGAATCACACAACTTTTTTAGGTAAAGAGACAGTATTCCAAATTTCCTAATGTTTACTGACGTGGCAAATTGTTCTCCAAGATATAATTCCTGAGGGCTATTTTTGAAAACCAAAACAAAAAAAGGTTTAATCTGATCCTTTATGGTTAAAGGAGATATTTTAATGTTGAGCATGCCAGTAATTACTTAAAAAAATTTTTTTTAAAAAGATTTTATTTATTTGAGAGAGAGAGATAGCAAGAGAGAGCACAAGCGCAGGAGAGAAGGACTCAGCAGGGAGCCTGATACAGGGCTCAATCCCAGGACCCTGAGATTATGACCCAAGACAAAGGCAGATGCTCAAGCCACCCAGGGTAATTGCTTTTTAGAAGAAAGTTTAGAGAGTGCCTTTTGAAAACACATGTTTGGGGACGCCTGGGTGGCTCAGTTGGTTGGACGACGACTGCCTTCGGCTCAGGTCATGATCCCGGAGTCCCGGGATCGAGTCCCGCATGGGGCTCCCAGCTCCATGGGGAGTCTGCTTCTCCCTCTGACCTTCCCCTTGCTCATGCTCTCTCTCACTGTCTCTCTCTCAAATAAATAAAAATAAAATCTTTAAAAAAAAATAAAAACACATGTTTGGAACTATTTCTGTCATTATTGTGGTTTTGTTATTAAAAACGATGTGTGACACTTTTTTAAATTTTCATGTTTTCCCATTTTGGAAGCGGGAAACAGAAATTTCTAACCTGTTTAAAATGTTCCAAAAGAAATTCTCAGGCTTTCAAACCACTTGCTAAAATTATAAAAGTGGAACACCCTCTGATTCGTTTGCAAGACCAACTGATGGGTATGAGAGAGGATGAGCATTTATTAGCAGAATTTCAACAAGAAACCTTTGTGTAATTAGTGAATAAGATTGATACATGAATATTGTACATTGAACATAGTTAATAATATCTTCAATTTGGTTCTCTTCATCTTTTTGAGATACTTTTTGAGCTAAGGCATTCATCAAATGCAAGTAATAAAATAAAATGAACTTAAAACCACACCTTCAAATTGCTGTATCATAAAGTATTAAACCAGTATTTTTAAAAATTATGAAACATTCAAAATTACGATGCTCTCTCCAAAATATTATTAGTATTACATATACTATTAATATTCTTAAGGAAGATAAAACATGTTTTTGTACCATTAACAAAATAAAAACATTATTTTAGAAAACCCCAAATAAGGATATGAGAGAAAAAATGTGGTGACCTCTACTCTAGGTAGGTTTCTGAAGTTGCTTTCATTCTCTAGGTACTTTCCCCATCCCCTGAGGGCTACCCTCCTCCCACAGCTAGTGACTAGGATTCATGGGAATTGGCCTGGCTGACAGCTTCAACCCAGTTTTGTTCTATAGTTAACAGGCTTTCTAATAGACAAATTCAGGGTGCTGGCTTGGTTCTATTGGAGCAGTCTCGGGTGTAAAGAATCTCCACAACAATCAGTAATCATATGTTGATGTTGTGTTAAAACATGTGCTTATGGTGTAGTTTAAACAAATCACCTTCCAAAATAGAGTAACAGTCATGATGATGGTAAATTATTAATCAAGTCAGCGTGGCTGGGAAACATAGTTCCTAGAAGCTGCTGACCAAGCAAGTCTTCTAAAGGATAGTCCTTAGCTGTCCTTGTGCTATAAAGGTTGCTGTCAAAACCCTCTTCATGGTCTTATTCAAGGAAACCAGAGTGTTTGAGAGGATTTACTTTGCACAAAGTAAGAAAAAGAAGCCTACAATTTATGAAAGTGAGAAGCCAGAGTTGAAACACTGTGATGTGCTTTAGATGGCTTCTCAACCATGGCTGTACCTTCAGGTCATCTGGAGAACTTGTAGAAAGTCCCCTGGGGCACTAGGATTAACAAAGAAAAATCCGGGGTGCCTGGCTGGTTCAGTTAGTAGAGCATGCAACTCTTGATCTTGGAATGGTGAGCCCCACGTTGGTCATAGAGATTATTTTTTTAAAAAGAAAAAAAAATCACGAGGGTGTTCTAGTGTGCATCCATGATTGAGAATCACTGTTTCTGAACCCTAATCCTTATATCTGCTGAACTTCCACTTCTAGCCATTGTAGAGAAACTCATAACAGGCTTGTTCTTCTGCTGAAAACAACTATAAATAATAAGCAGAGTATATGAGTCAACTGTTTTGAGATGTTGAATAACAGACTTTGCAGGACTGCAATCTTGAGATAAGGGAAACACACAACATGCATTTCACGGTGACCCTAGTTTTCTGTCTGCAGCTGTAGAGAGTGGTGGAACCCAAGGTGAGCAGCAGCCTTACTGCGACAAGGAGGCAGACACTGGCATTCTGGGCTGCCGAAGCAGCTAAGATTTACAGAACATGGTACCAGAGAAGAGGGAGTGTTGTAAGATCCTGGGGACAGAATTTTGTGTGGGGATTTGTTGTGTGAATCCTTAACCAAGAATTAGGCTGTGCCTGTCCAAGGCAAGGATCCATAAGGCTTAAGAGAGATTGCCTGCTCTGAAACCAGGAGAAGGACAGTAATACTTGGAGCTAAACATTATAGGAGATGTTGGGGTTCTGGCCTGACCTGAATAGATGGAAGTCAATGGACCCTTGGCCATTCAAGGGAGACCTAGAAAGTCTATGCCTAGGGAGTAAGAACTATGTCATAGAGTAAGAATGATAGCTCTGGACTAAGTTCAAATCCAGATTAGATTCCTTCCTAACAGACAATAATACTAGCCTATCCTGATAAAAACATAAAAGTAGTAATTTAAATTCCTGCCAGGATAAGACACAAACATCTTCTAAAAGAAGATGACATAATTCAAACTCCCTGCAATGTATCGTTTACAATGTCTACCATTCAAAAAAAATTAGTAGACGTGTAAAGAAGCAGAGAAATGTGACCCAGGATTAAGAAAAAAAGCAGTCAATAAAAACACTTGAAATTGATGTAGATGTTGATGTTGAATGTTGATACTAGGTGAGATGTTGAAGATAAGGCCTTTGAGCAGCTAATACAAAATTAGCTGGACTTAGAGGAAAACACGATCCTGAATGAACATAAGTGGAAGCTGCAGAAAAATGGATGATGCTAAAGAACCAAATGGAAATCCTAAAACTAAAAGATACAATATATAAAATGAAAATTTCACTACTTAACAGGAGACTGCAGAAGAGTTCATGAATCTGAAAATAGATCAATAGAAATGA